CGTTCGAATCATGGTGGTCTTTTTGTTCGTCGACTACATGGCTGCGGTCACCGTGCCGATTCAGCTGCTCTTCTTTGGGCTCTACTTCCTCCGCTTCCAGCAGGAGCCCATCACCCCTCGGGGCCGGTTCCTCACCTCAGTCACATTTATTTTCATCTTGATTCACCACATTGTCTTGCTGGTGACCCTGTATGACCCTCGACGGTTGATTGTCTCCTGCTGGGGCGTTCTCATCACCTCCGGGCTATACCCCCTTTTTTGGGGCCTGGTACGCGATGCTCCGGCCCCCGATTGCTCCTTTTTTTACGTGCCTGCCAAACTGACCTGATCTCTCGCTCTCTCTCTCTCTCTCTCTATGTCGCTCTCTCTCTCTCTCTCTCTCTCTCTCTCTCTCTCTATGTCGCTCTCTCTCTCTCTCTCTCTCTCTCTCGCGCTCTCTCGCTCTCTCGCTCTTTCCCTCTCTCTCTCTCTCTCTCTCTCTCGTTGTCCCCCGCTGTGTTTACTCCCCGCGACCATCTTCCCCGACTTGCATTTCTGCCTGCGTCGAGCCAGCCATACGTCCTCCGGGCGTTGGTTGTTTACTACCGGCACATGCACAACAAGCATGCCATGTGCATGTCGCGCCTGAGCATGTTGCGCGACTCGTCATCGGCTTCCCAATTGCACGAGGATACCTTGCTTTTGCCGGCCAGCCCGGCGGCCGGTGGGCGGGAGATGCCCCAGGAGGGCTCGCGCTTCTGGAGCTTGCTGATGCCGTGGAGGACATCCGGCCGATCGGGCGAGGCCAAGGCTTCGGATGCCCTTCCGGAGGGGAGCCACCCGCTGGAGCCGCTGACCTCGAAGGTGGACCCGGCGCCCGGGGCAGCGGGCGCATGCGCCTCGGCCGGGCTCCCGGAAGGCACTGCGAGCTCCACCAGCATGGAGCCCGTCTCGCCGGGGGGGTCTCTCTGCCAGTCCAAGCACAAGACCTCGGCCTTGAGCTTGACCATGGATGCCCCTTCGCCGACCAGCGAGCAGCCTGGCGAGGTGGTCGATGTGTACCAACTTAAGCAGAAGCTGGCGCAGGAGTTGAACAAGGCCATCACCTTTCGCAAGACCAGGAGCTTTGCCCTGCTGAAGTGGGTTCAATCGTCTCGCAACCAGGTCATCATCTTCCTCGGGACCAGCCTCGTGTCATTGATCTTTGTGGTGATGGCCATGATCCTGTGCGTTGGACGTTCGGGAGGGGGAGTCCCCCTTGGTGGCGGGAGGGCCCATTGAGTTGGTGTTGCCGCGCGTTCGCTGTCTCGCGCGTCTCTCCTTCTCCCGCCTGGGCATGCACCTCCCCATCCTCCGCCCCGAGCCTGCTTGCTGACCATCCCGCGCACATGCACACCCGTACTCGCGCGCGCCTGTCTGTGCCCTCAATCGGGTCCCTCGGCCTGGCCCACCGCCGGCCTTTCTGCCGCTTGCATGGCCCGGCCCTCAGAACCATCGACACCCCTTTCGATAATTACACCAACGCCAACCCCAGCTGCATCTATGGCTCGAAGTATGTCATCATGCTGGAGGTCATTGTCCTGATCCCGATTGTGGCCATACCGGTGACCATGGTTTGGTCCGCGCGGGACATCTACCTCATGAAGCAGGAGCTCTACATCAATACATCGGCCTCCTTCCTGGTTGCCCTGCTGTGGGGCATCTCGGCGGCGATCGGGGATATGGGCTGGTTCCGGCCGGAAATCATCGCCATCTTCCTGACAACCTTCAACAATCTGCTGATTGTCATCTTCCCCGTGACCCTGTCCTTCCTGCCCTTCTACCGGAATTTGACGTGCGTGCTTGGATGTGTGGTTGTTTTTCTCCCCGGCCCACAGCACTGACATGCGATGCTTCGCCGAATGCCTTCTCCTCTTCACCATGCCATGGGATCGGGGTGCTGCGGGATGGGCCGCCTCCGGAAAAAAAAATATCCCCCCAAACAAACCCCAGGCACCAGCGGAACTGGAATCCCCTGTTCATGAGGGAGAGCCAATCCGCGGAGGAGCCCCGGTCGGCTGTGAATGGGATCTTGGACTTCGAGACATTCCGGCACTTCCCCGGGCCGGCCATGCAGTTCGAGCAATTTTGCGTGGAGTCCTGGTGCGCGGAGATCCACCTCTTCCAGACCCGCTGCCTGAGGTACCTGGACAATTACGACCGCATGTCCCCGATGCAGCGGTACCGGGAGGTGCTGGAGATGCGCGACCAGTTTGTCCGCATCGAGTCGCCCTTCGAAATCAACATCCCCGGCAACATGCGGCAGAAGCTCCTGCGGACCTTTGACGAGGTGGCCGTTTTGGACCAGGACGGCCAGCCGGGGCCCATCCCCCGGGACATCTTCCTGCCGGCGCAGCAGGAGACCAGCGAGCAGCTGAATCGCCTGCTGCACATCTGGCGCGACACGCCGGCCGGCAAGCGCGAGACCCAGGAGCTCCTGGTCCTCTGACGGGCGACGGCCGGGGGATTGGCTGGCCAGGTGAAGTTGCCCGGGCCGCCTCCCTTCCCGGTCGTGTGTGTGTGTGGCTCTCTCTCTCTCTCTCTCTCTCTCTCATACAGTCCCTTTTTCGCATCGCCGTTGGTTTCTCGGTGTGCTGCCGGCGGGATGGGGTGTGTGGCAACAAAGGCGTGTCTTCGTGGCCCTTCGGGGTCCGTGTGGTCGGTCTTCGGGAGATGCTCGACGGCAACCCGGGTGAACAAAGGCATCCTGGTTGGTGGTTTTTTTCCCCCGCGACGCCCACCGACATACTGGCAGGTGGGAGCTTGGGCGGCAGACACAGCAGCCTCACTGGGATGGCCTGGCCATCGGGCGGGAAGGCCGGTAGCTGTGGCCCTGCAGCGACAGAGGCTCCGGCTTGCGATGGAGACGTGGCACGGAGACATGTGCGGGGACGCCGCCACCGTGTTCCTGCTTGCGTGTTGCCGCGTTCTCCGGCGAGAGGGGTTCGGACCGCCACCAGGGGAAGGTCGAATACTCGGTTATGGTTCATCGCCGGGCCCGGCCAGCCAGCTGCACAGGACCACCTGCCCGTCTGGTGGCTGTGCAAGCGCAGCCCGTGCTACGGGAGAATGGGATCGCTCGTCGGGACTCGGGGGAGGGAGCCACGGGGCACCTTAGCCGTGGCGCAATTTCCTGTGGATCGCAGTGGAGATGGCTCAGACGGGCTGCATGGTCGGATGAGCGGCCCGGCAATGGATGGCCTCTTCGGCTGGGGCCGTTGCGACGGCGGTCATCATCGCCCAATGGCCGCCACCAACCAAATGCCTTCCTAGCGGGAGGGCTACTTTGCCGGAGGAGCAGCCGACCCTTCGGGCATGCGATTGGATGTGTGCCAGCACCGGCCAGTAGGCCGGCAATGGACAGCGTCATGGTGAGCAGTCGGTGCTGGAGGTCGGGTGTGTGCGAGTGCCTCGGGAGGTGAGGGTTGCTGGTGTGCTTGGGCCCCAAGCATCTGGCGAAGAGGCTCCCCATCGATGGCTGAGGCTGTGGGACATGTCAGCCTGGGCACGCTTGTCGAGAGGATGGATTCCATTGAACGGGGTGAACTCCATCAGCTCGGGCTCAGAGTGGCCCATGCTCGGGAGTCGACAGGCTCCGATGGTTGTCTCCTTGGACCGACCATCTGCCCCGGGAGCCGGGATCGCCCATTACCGATGTGGAAAGGGCGCTTGCGGCAGGGTGAATCCCAAGCATCGCACCTTCGCCGTCGGGCGGGACGTGGTGATCTCTGTCCGGCTGGATGTGTGCCGGGTTTCCGCCCGTGTGCGGATCACGCGGCCCCGACGAGTCACCCTGGCCGGAGATGGGACGCTCGTCGGGGGGACTGCGAATCGCAAGGCTGATGCTGCCATGCGCGTAGGATTGCCTTGTTTATTCCGGTGGCCTTGGTGATGGTTCGCCTGACGGACCAGCGACAGGTCATCCCCATGCAAGTGCACAGCCCGGTGGCGGGGGCCCGCGCTCCGTGCAAAATGCATCACCCTGCATTTGGCATGGTGGGATGCCGCGCGGCGAGGAGGCCTTCACGGCGCATGTGTCCCGGGGGCCAGCGGCCCTGTTCGAGGGAGGCGCTGGGAAATCGGCGCCTCCAAGCCGCCCACGGCGCCCTTCCCTCAGAGCCCGCAGAAGCTGACCCCTGAAGGGGGAGATCGGCAGACGCTGGTGACATTTTTTGCACGGGATCCGGGGAGCCATCAATCCGGGGGGTTGACTACCAGGCAGATCCCGGTTGGGCGGGGAGGCCCGCCCTTCGGCAGGGGAACCCTCATGCTCGGACTGATGTATGGCAAGTGGCGGCGGGGGTGGGCCCACGGCGATGGCCGGCAGGCATTGCCCTGGGTCGGCGAGGAGAACGGCCCTCGTGGATGGGACCATCATCCAGCTCATCGCCGCGTGGTGGGGCCCCTCGCTCCCCCTCCCTCCCCCGAAGAAAGTGCCACGCCTGGGGTGGGACTCTACCCCCCCCCGCGCCCCCCAAAGACGGCGCCTCGAATGGGGTATGCCTGTGTCCGAGCGAGTGAGGGCGCCTGCTGTGCAGTGAAGCCCTCTCACCGAAACAGCCGCCCGCCCGGTGCCGAGGGGGGTGACCCCGGTGGGGCATGGTCCCTCGGGGAGGCCGCGCCGGACCCTTGGCCAGGGTGCTCGATCAGACTTGCCTCCTGCGGCATTGGGCCTCAGCTTGGTTGAGGCGGGTGGGCCCATTTTTCTCCTCGCTCCTGCGGCCATCCTTGCAAGTGGGAGTGTGGGGCCCTTTTGACGGTCCGAGCCCGAGCATCTGGGTCGACCGAGGGGCCGGCGGCTATGGGAGATCGGCTGATCGGGATGATGGTACCCGTCACTTTCCTGCAGGGGGTCCTGTTGAGAAATGCCCCGGGACATGGCACAGCATGTGCGGCATCCCGGAGCGGGGCCGCCGCCCCGCCGGGCATGGGTGCGCGCCTCTGCCTGCCCCGAGGCTAGTATGGTGTCAGAATTCACTCGACGCTGGTGCGGCACCTCGGGCGGAAGGGGGCCTGCGTGAAATGCGGCGAGTCGTGGCGGCGCAGACTGCCCCCCCCCCCCCCCGAAGGTCTTTCGAGAGAGTTGGGAAAGATGGGCGGCTATCCCCACAAGCAATGGAGCCGAGGAATGATGCGCCGCATGTGCGCTCCTCAGCCGGGGACAGGGGAGACGCTCCGGGGAGGAAAGGATAATAGACCGGGCCATGTGTGGGTGCACTTGTGGAGCCTGCAGCAAGAGGGTACAGGCCCGGCACGCACATGAAACTCCGGGTGATCCGAGCTCGGCCATTGTCCCAATGCTCTGCCTGATCATGGCGTGCGATTGGGGAATTGTCAAACCACCAAGGGCATTCTGAAAGGTGCAGCCTGCGCGGGCGATGCTTCGGTTGAGCGGCCGCCGGGCGGCTTGCGCTGAACGCATGTGGCCCGCCATTCGGTCGTGGGCCGGCGACCCTTTGCCAATCTGGGACACCTGCCCCGAGGTCGCCTGGCACGGGTGCTGGCAAATTCACGCGCCGCTCAGCTCCTGCCCGCCTGCCTCGTCTCAAGCGGCTTTGTCCACTCCTCCGGTTGCCTTTACGCAGATCCAAGGTCTCGTCTCCGGGCATGTGTGTTTTTTTTTTCCCCATGAGCATGACCCTTTTCAGCTCCCTGTGAAAGGAGGGAGGGTGCGCATGTGGACTCCCCTCAATATGACCGCCACCAGCCCCGTCCTGCGGCCACTTTCCTGGGTGTCTCTTCTCCGATGGGGACTCCAATGGAGGCGGGCCCTCTTGTGGCCTCCTCTCCAAGGTCCTAACACACTCAGCTGTCCTCCTCACTTGCCAATGCCCGGTGTGCCTGTCCACCTCCTCTCCGCCCCTGCCCCCCCCCCCCCTGGGGCGGTGCGACTCGGTCCCCGATGGACGCCCCATGAAGGTGCAGATCAGGAGCCATCCTTTTTCTTTGTTGGTGTTTCTATGTCCTCGGTGGTGGTTTTTGTGGGATGGAGGGTTTTGGGAGGCTCGGGGAGACCTTCGCCGGTTGCCAGAAGCACATGTCAGAACCGAAGTGCTTCACCGGGCTCCGAGGTCGATGACGCGGGCGTCCCGCTGTCGATTGGCCACGATGCAGCCATGTGCGTCGAAGAAGTGACGAGGTCCGGTGGATGGCGGCGATTTGTCGGAGTTCAGCCCAAATCGCGAGGGGCTTGACATTCCGCAGTGTCGAGGAGCCCGGCAGCCCGCCAAGCTTCCGAGCTTGCTCCTGGCAATCAGGGAAGATCGGGCCCCGTGAAAAGGGAGCCTGGGTTCGGGCATGACCTAAGAACTCGGCACCGAGGGTGGCGTCAAATCGAAGATGTGGCGGAGGGGCGGGTGGAAGGCCCCCCCCCCCTCCAGCGTGCGCTCGAGCGAGCTGGAGCGGGATGTTTTTTTTTCCCCTAACAGGTCCCCTACAACGCAGGGAGCAGCGCCTTGGCTGGATGCTTGCAGAGGAGTGGACCACGCAGGGGGTTGCCCGTGGCATAGAGGCAGGTGCGCACGGGTCCTGTGTTGCGAGCGTCGAGGGTGATCGCGGTGGGGTCCCGGCAGTTCGCGGGCGGGTCCAGCAACCTGTGCAGCGGAGAGAGAGAGAGAGAGAGGTCGCGTTGGGTCGGAAGGTAAACCTCCGGGCAGTCGCACGAGGGATCAGGAGAGCCTCGGCCCCCGGCGCCGATGACGCACTCGCGGGCGGGCCCGGCGTCGGCGTCGGCGTCGAGGAGGCCGGTGTTCGAGGGGCGCGCGGCCTCCCGTGCGATCGAGGCCTCCCCGGCAGCGGTGGCCGCCTGATTGTGGCTTGCCTGCGCCGGCGCTGTGGATTGAGCGCGGGCTCGAGTCGTTTTCAGTGGGAACGAGGGCCCTTGGCGGCGCCTCGGTTCTTGTACTGGCGCCGGTGGGTCGCGCCGGCCGCGGCTTCGGGCGCGCCGGCGCCGCGCCCTTGCTCCGGGTGGTCGCCCGAGGCCGCCTTGGCATTGTTGGGCTTTGAGGGTGGAGGCGGGCTCGGGCCCAGGGTAGCGAAGTGGCATCTCTTCGGGAACGGGCAGTCGAGGCACTTCAGGAAAGGGGCACGATCTGGGATGATGCCCAGGAAGTCGCCTATGGGCGGGATCTCGCCCTTTAACTTGCACGAAGGCACGCGGAAGGGGGATTGCTTGGTGAAGTCCGGCGGCTGGGAAGATTGCCCCCGGGTCGGAAGGGTTGTTTTGGCCAGGAGCGTCTGCCAGAACAGTTCATGCGGCGGGCAGAAGCGGACCTTGGCGCACAGGGTCGCCGCGGCGCATGCAAGATCCAGGCTGGACATCGAAAACTCCCAGCAAGTCATGGAAATGGCCGACAGCATGTTGACGTCCCACAGGGTTGACAAAGTTGCAGATGTTCTCGTAGAAGTCGTCCTGGTACATGTGCGGGAATAGGCCAATGCTTCTGACCACCGGAGAGGGGAGCGTCTTGAGGAACCCATTTACCGTCACCGGCTGCCAACAGGTGGCGCAGATGGCCATTCGAATCTGCATGATTGAGCGGATGTGAGACGTGGTGTCCGGGTGTTGGGGGAACGCCGGGCGGGTATCTTCCTTGCTCGCGACAAAGGCACCCCGCAGGAGCTCTTGAACGTGGGCCTCCGACAGGTCGAAGAAGATGTCCAGACGAGTGGGCTTGAAGTCCGGGTGCCGGGGTGCGAACAGCGCGTCGAGTCCCCTCTGGCGTTGATAATGAATTTCCGGGGCGAAATAGATGATCGACTTGGTGGCGGGCACCTGGTTGAGGAGGGCGGGCGCGGTGGGCTCGGGCTGAGGGGCCACCATCATGGTGCTGCCTGGCCTTGGGGCCGGGGTGGGTGGGGGGCTGGCTCCGGGGCCGGTACAGGCGGGAGGGCTGGCTCCGGGGCCGGTGCAGGCGAGGGGTCTCGCTGTGTCGGCGTGGACAGAGCCGTCCTGCTGGGCGGGCCTAGCTGCTGAACATCCCAGGACAGTTGTAGAATGCGGAGCTGGATGGCCGTCATCCGGGCCAGTGTGGCCGAGGGGCCGAGGGGCTGCGGCTCCTGCGTGGCGGGATCCTCGTTCACGGGCTGAGGGTGCCGGTGCCGGGCGGTCTGCATCGGGTCGAGCATGTGGCGCATGCTGTCCGGGTCCTGCGCCGCGCCATTCTCGGGCTGGCCGGCGCGCATCTCGGTGTGCCACAGTTGTCGGAGAGTCCGGTTCTTGAGGTCCATGTTCCCAGGGGCGTGCTTCACCAGCTCATTCAGGATGAGGGCAAGCGATTCCCCCGGAGGGGTGGCTTCGCCTCGCAGCTGTCGGAGTTGCTGGATGTAGTCGAGCAGCTCCTCCTGCACCAGGCTGTGGCCGTTGTACACAACTTGGCCGAGCGCCGTGAACAGCCGCTGGCCCGGGCTCATGGGCAATTGGTCGCGCCGACTGGCGGTCAGGATCTCGGCGCGCTGACGCGAGAGGACGATGGCCCGTGACATGAGGCCAGCCAGGCTCTCATGGCGGAAGAGCGGATGAAGGGCGGGCTTGCGATTTTGCCAGAGGCGCCAAAGGTCCGAGGGATTTGGCAGGAGCCCGTATCGCTGCTGGAGCCGGCTGATGGCGGTTCGGTCGGATGCCTGGAGTGCTGGCCAATCCAGGAAGTCCCTCGGCCGATGGCCCGAGATGTCTGGGCGAGCCGCCAGCAGGTCCACCAGGGCGCTGGTGAAGATGTCATCGGCCTTGCATAGGCCGGGCACATCGCCGACGGCGCCCAGGATGACGCGGGAGTGGAAGAAGCCCAATGCGAAGCAGTCCTCTGGGTCCAGCCGCAGGAGCATGTGCAAAAAGCAGCTGCTCGGTTCGGTTCGGGATCACGTCCGGGAAATTGTGGCCGATCGCCGCGTAGATGGTCAAGATGCTGGCGCCGAGGTCCATGCTGCGGTTGGCGGAGGTGAAGTGTCGGGCCATGATGGGCACGTCATTGAGCGCCATGTGCACGGGCTGCGGCAGGGCGTCCAAGAAGCGAACGATCTGGGCGTGGAATTCCTCCAGGGTGTCATCGTCGGGCAGGAGACGATCGTTGATGATGGTTACGCGCGCTGGGCACAGTGGAGTGGACACGCGCCCGGCGTCGCGAGTAGGGCGAGGAGGCCGACGAAAGAGGGAAGGCAAGGAGGCGGGGAGGGAAGGTGGGGGCGGGGGGGCCAGGCTGGTTGGTCTTGCGGTTCCAACATTATCTTAGAGCCTTTTGAAGGAGGACGAGCCCCTTCGGGATGCGTCGGTTACGGTTCGGGGCGGACTCCCGTGTCGGCGGGGTAGGACCAAATGCCCCGACACGGCAGTGTGTGCGTGTGCATGAATACGCCCCTGGAGTGGAAGGACTCCACATGGGATCCCGATTAGTATAGTGGTGAGAATCCCCGCCTGTCACGCGGGAGGCCCGGGTTCAATTCCCGGATCGGGAGTATCTTTTGTCCCTCCGCGGCGTCCGGGCTTTTGTTGGCACGGTTGTCGTGTTCTCGAGGGCGCGGGGGAGAGGCGCCCGGGCGGGGCGGGGGCGGGGGCGGGGCGGGTGTTGCTGTTCCCCTCGTGTTGGCTGGAGGGGGATGGGGACAACGGAGACCGGGGGGGGGGGGGGGGGGGGATGGCACGCACAGTCCACACAGCCGAGAGCCGCGCGAGATCCTGCTGCAGGCGCTGGTGAACACCGGCCACCAAACGCCGGGCCCCGAGCGGCAAGCGCCGCCGGGCCTGCGGGAACACCTGGGGGGGGAGGGGCAGAGGCGGCGCGGGACGTGCGGAGGGTGTGGGGGCCACGAAGGGGATCGATCTTGGATTGTTGTTTTGTGATTGGGAGTGTGTTTTTCCATGTGGCCGGGGCGAGGGCGAGCGTCGCGATCGCGCGAGGGAAAAAAGAAATTCCCATACCGGGACTCGAACCCGGGTCTCGTGGGTGAGAGCCACGTATCCTAACCACCTAGACTATATGGGAGGGGTAATATACCGCCTCGAGATGGGTCTTTTATTTGACGGCCCTGGGTGCAATGGAGCTGTGGGGGCCAAAAATGAATGCAGTAGCCCACTGTGGGGCTCGAACCCACGACCCTGGGATTAAGAGTCCCATGCTCTACCAACTGAGCTAAACAGGCTGTACATGGTGGCATGCACGGTGTGCGGAAATAAAAATGAATGGTACGCCGTCGGTGGCGGACCTGGGCCGCCGGCCCTCGGCACTGCGGTGGTGGGGGAAACATGGGCCTCTCTGGCTCCCAGGGCGCGTGGCTGGCGGAGAGGGCCCCCGGCTCGTCGGGAAGCTTTCCGCCGGGGCGCGAGCATCAAGAAAAAGGGTCCTGCCCCATTCCGCGATCCGGGCGCCGGTTCCTGTCATGCTCGCGGGCACATGGTTTCCGCCCGGGGTTGGCGCCTCATTCTGCAGGGGCCCAAGAGGGGGGGCTATCATCTCCGGCAGTTCGGCCAGCGGCCTGGCCATTGTTGGGTGTTTTTTTTTTTTCGTGCGAGACACATGTCGCCCGTCAATCGAGGGGCCGGGCCCGGGGGATGGCGGTGCCCGGAAAGCGCCACAAGGAACGCTCCCTTGCTGGGGCCGCTGGGCCTGTGTGGTCCGCCGAGGCCGAGAGCCCTCGGGGCCGGCTCGGAGGGCATGCGCTTGGTCATCTCGGTTGTTCGACAGGCACAAAGGCGGGCCCACGCTCTCGGGCCGAGGGCTTGCCGCGCTTCGGGTGTCGTCCCTGGGTGGCGCATCGCCGCCGGCAATCACACATTCCTCCATGCCTGTGCGGGCCCTTGGCTGGTGGCGGTGTCGGTGTGCTCCTCCTCCAGGCGAGGCGCATTCGGGTGGGGACGAGCTCCGCGGGGACATGCCCTGGTATCCTTGGCCCGGGAGATTCTCCCCGTCAGGCAGGCTGGAATTTCGGGGTGGCGCGCGGCCGGCTGCCTGGCCCCGAGCAGCGTGGTTCCCCCGAGAGGGGATTGCCTTTTCTTTTTTCGGCGTTCATTCTCCTTCAGGCGACGACGCGCCGAAGGGTGGGAGGGCATCGACTCGGGGGTGGCCCGACCACTCCGGATGCCCGATGCCGGGTTTGCTGCCAGCAACCGGGGCTCGGTCATGCTGCTGGCAGCTGCTGGGGCCGATGTCCACGCCCGGGAAGCACCGTCGAGGCGGTCCCCAGCCCCTGAGAGACATAGTGCTCTCGGGAACCACGGGCCGGGGGCGGGTGCCCCGGGGACTTTTGCCGCGACGGGGACTGGCGGACATGGGTCGCGGCATCGGTGCTCTTGACGCAAGTGGAAGGCTTGGCTTTTCGGTGCATGCCCCACCGACCAGGGGCCGCCGGGGGGAAAGGCGGGCCTTTGGCCCATCGCGATGATGCAGCGGCATTGATCCCGCGCGGCGGAGGGCCGCCTGGCGGGGCATGTGAAGACACGGCCCTGCCCGTGTGTTCACAGGGCGGCACGCCCCGTGCTTGGGGCATGCATGGCTGCCGGGTGGCTGAATGGGGTGGCGCTCCTGGTGGCCGCCCGGAGGGGCCAGGGGGGGGGGGGGACCTTGGGCCCGACGGGGGATGCCGAGCATGTGGCACCTCCCTGCCCAGGGTGTCGAGTCATCTGCTGCATGCCGCCGGCCCGGGCCGTAGTCGCCGCTCGGAGAAAGGGCGATTGGAGGCCCGCATGGGCGCGGGCATTTTGCCTCGCCGAATGCGGCCGACGCCCTCCGCGCCGGATCGCCAGGCTGAGCCCTTATTCCCCGGGAGTTCTCTCGCCCGAGAGGAGCTTCACCAAGCACACCCGGCCCGGCGGGGCTGGAAAGGGCACCTGCCAAGAGCCGGCATCGGGGGGCCCGGATGGCTTGGTCCGGAAGCGCGCTCCTCACTGGGGATCTCTCGGGACCGTGTCAGGCAGTTGTGTATTGGATGAAGGTGCCGAGGGCGGGGCTGCTTGGCGCGCGAAGGGGCAGACCGAGCACATTCAGAGCGGCGCTTGGAGCTGGCCCAAGGTGGCGGCCAGTTCGTCGGCCGTGGGGCGGTCGTCGGGGTTGGTGGACCAGGCCCGGCGGTACGCCTGGCAATAGGGCTCCAGCCAGGAGGCTGACGAGACCACGGGCACCAGCTTCCGCGGCTCGCCGGTGGACAGGTCCCTGTCTGGGCGCTGGTCGGCCATCACGGCGCGAGGCAGCTCGCTCGACGGCGTGGCTATCGAGCCAGGCAGCGCACGCGGGCCGATTAGCCAGGGGGCCGGGGGGGGGGGGGGGGGGGGGGGGGGGGGGGGGGGGGGGGGACCCCCCAGAGATGCAAA